AGAGAGCCTGGTTCTAATAAAGAATGCTTCTGTCAAGGACCACAGTAAGAGTTCTGTGAATTATGGCTATAGATGCTCCTTGGACACTTGAGGACACTTGAGGCTCCTCGTGCCAAGGGACCAGCAAGAAAGAAGATTCACCATCTTGGCAGGGGTAATGGACCCTGATCATAAGAAAGAGGTAGCATTTTTCTTATACAGTAGGGAGCAGGGAGAGATAGATTTGGTGCCTGGCTAATCCACTTGCTTGTTGGTATTTCCCAGCCCAGTTTTGACAGTAAATGGGCAAGGGCAGCAACTCTGGCCTGAGAAGGCCATGTTTGCCAGGGTCTCAGACCCCTCAGGGATGAGGGTCTGGTTACTCCACCAGGTAAGCCACTGAGACCAGAACAGTCGTGGAGGGAATCCAGAACTGATAACGAAGGCAAGGGAAGATGAGTATCGATTGTAGCCTCAAGACCAACCGCAGCAGTGGAGGCTGTAGTTAACCTCACTAACCCTCTCTTCTAAATTCCCCCAGGCAGAGGCACACCAGAATCCTGGAGGAGCTGCTCCCTGCATGTTTATGAAAGAGTAGAGCCTGGTCATGCAAGGGATGGACTGTGTCGGACATTTCTTGCACCACCAAATCCCCCTTCAGTAGGAAAGAACTTATTCCCCCAACTTCTGGGAGTGTTGCCTGCAGAAAGCCTTTAGCCATCAGCTCCCTTCAGAGAATGCCTCGGGTGAAAAGAGACGCCTTGCCCAAGGTTGCACCCCACATCCAAAGACACATCCAGCCACCAATATGGCGGCACAGAAGTACAGCACACTTGCCCCATGTGGGGGACAACTCTGAGCTCCTTGTGGGGTCAGCTGAGACCTCTGTAGAGACTGATAAGAGCTCAGCTTCTCCCTCTGCCCACTCCTTCCTTGCCCTCCCTTTCACAAATGTTGATGCAAAAGCACTCTGTAAGAAACCTCCTTTGATAATCTCCACCTCAGAGCCTGCTTCCAGGGAGGAGCCCTCCCTGAGGGGGAGCAGGGAAGTGGGACCCTGAGGTGGGCCAGTCCACATGCACCACTGAGGGTGGTGTTATCTTCTCTTAGAGCAAGGGAAGACTTGGCAAGGTTTAAGCAAGCGGTTACACGATCTTTTGAAAAGATCCTTCTGGCTGGCATGAGGAAAATAAATTGTGAGGGCAAGACTGACAGCAATGAGGACAGAAAGATAGTCCTTCAAGCATCCAGATGAGACGAGAAGGCGGCTGGACCAGGGTGGTGCAGGTGGTGATAGAGAAACGTGGATGGGTAATTAGATAGTCCCTGGTGATGGACGGGGATGGGAAATGGAGAAGAGGATCAAGGAGAAGGAGGTTCCTGGATGACTCCCAGGTTCTGGCTTGCACAAGTGAGTGGCAGGGAAGATGGGGAAACCAGGGGGAGGCCAGGTTTGAAGTGGGGGGGCAAGATCATGAGTCTGAGTCAGGATATGTTGAGTCTGAGGAACCTCTGAGACATCCCCCGGGAGGCATCAAGTGGGCAGGCAGCGGGACCTGCAGGTGGGAGGAGGTGTAAATCTGTGAGTCATTGTCATGCAGAACTGCTGTGAGGAGATTACGGAGGGATAACCTGTGAGAGGAGAGGAGGAGGAGGCCTGGGAATGGCCAGATAGGGAGGCTGAGCCAGCAAACAAAACTGAAAAGCAGTGGGCTGAGTAAGAGGGGAAAGAAACACGTGCGTGGTTTGCTCTGCAGATGTCAAGTGCAGCAGCCAGTCCAGGGGCAGTTATGCTGCATAAACGAATATCCCTAAGATCTCAAAGGCTGCAAAAGACTAACGTTTATTTCTCCCTCACTCTATGGGGCCAACGTGGGTTAGCAGGGTCTCTGCTCATCATGGTCACTTGGGAACTGGGTTGATAGAGGCTCCATCTCAAAACCAGCTTCCACAACTGCCCAGGCAGGGAAGGCGTGTGGTGTGGCACACAGCTCCTCGGGCTTGTTTTGGGGGCCTCCCCTAACCTCAGAGGGGGCAGGGAGGGAGTTCACAGACGAAGAGAGCTGGGAGCTCTTGGGCGGCACGGATCACCATCAAGCTGAGGAAGGGGAGGAGTGGCTGGCTGAGCGAAAGGCTGCTGAGAGGTGGAGAGACGTGAGGGCTGAGAAATGGAGGTGATGTAGGTCCTTGGTGACCCGAGAAAGAGCTCTGTGGTGGCTTTAAGGGATTAAAGGCCAGAAGCATCCCACTCCTGGGCATATATCTGGAGAAAACCATAATCCGAAAAGATACATGCATCCCAATGTTCATTGCAGTGCTGTTTACAATAGCCAGGACATGGAAGCAACCTAAATGTCCATAGATGGATGAATGGGTAAAGAAGATGTGGTACATACATACAATGGAATATTACTCAGCCATAAAAAAAGAATGAAATAAGGCCGTTTGCAGCAACATGGATGGACCTAGAGATTATCATACTAACTGACGTAAGTCAGACAGAGAAAGACAAATATCATATGTTATCGCTTGTATGTGGACTCTAAAAAAATGGTACAAATGAACTTATTTACAAAACAGAAATAGGATCACAGGTGTAGAAAACAAATTTATGATTACCAGGGGGTAAGAGGGGGGCGATAAACTGAGAGATTGGGATTGATATATACACACTACTATATATAAAATAGATAACTAATAAGAACCTACTGTATAGCACAGGGAACTCTACTCAAAACTCTGTAATGACTTATATGGGAAAAAGATCTAAGAAAGAATGGATATGTGTATATGTATAACTGATTCACTTTGCTGTACAGCAGAAACTAACACAACATTTTTAATCAACTATTCTCTAATAAAAAATTAATAAAATTAATAAAAAAGGTGGATCTCCATTTATGCTCTTGTTCTGGTCCCTGCAAATGTTAGGGGTGGGCCAAGGTGTATAAACATATATAATATACACACATATATAATTTTATATACTATCTATGTTATATATAATCTATAATAAATATATAATTATAAATCATAGAATAAAATGTATCATATATATGTATAGTATATACATTCCCACTCAAATTGGATTGGGATTGTACACACACACACACACACACACACACACACACACAAAAGGATACAGTTTGTATCAGTCAGCTTTTGCTGTGTGACAAAGAAACACATAATATCAGTGGCATACAACAATAAGCATTTATTTCTCACGTGTCATGGTTGCTGGTGCAGCCCCACCCCATGTGTCTCATTCTGGGGCTCAACCTGGAGGGTCAGCAGTTGCCTGGGGCATTTTCTTCCTACTGCAATGGCAGAAGCTCGAGAGGCAAGCTCAGCTGCAGGAGTATACTTCAAGCCTCTGCTCCTTGTGCTGCATCTGCTAACTTCCCTTTGGTGAAGCCCAGGAATGGGGAGTGGAGGAGTACGTTCTGCCGAGCATGGTGCCATGGCAAGGGTATAGATGTCTAAAGCCACTACAGGGCAGGGAAAGCTTGGTATCAATAATTTAATCTATCACATACCAAACTGAGGTTCCCTAGGAAGAGGAATATGAGATTGCCAGGGTGTGTGTGGAGGGGAGGGGGGCTAATTTGTAACTAATTCTAATTACGAAAATAACAAATGTTTTAATTTTTTACAATTTACCTGTAATCCCACATTCCTCTATTAGAAAGCAAAAATAAGACCTCGATTCTCCCCAGTCCCAGTCAAAAGCCTAATATAAAATTTTTACTAGTTGATTCACCCGAAAGACTGGCTAGACATTTTGAAAAACAAATTCTTTTTTAGATCCTGACCTCAAACCACAAACAAAAGTTAATTCTAAAAGGGTAAGAGACCTGAATGCAGAAACAGAACTGTCAAAATTAGTCTGGAGATAATATTTTGAGATATATCAAGATGCCTTTTCTTTTTGCACTTCCTTGGGTGACCTTCCAGCTTTTCAGCCAGAGGCTTGCATCGCCTAGAGGTGGAAGGAGATGGAGGAAGAGAGGGAGAGAGAGAGGTGGAGGGAGGGGGAGAAGGGGGGGGGGGGGGGGAGGGGGGGGGGGGGAGGAGGGGGAAAGGGAGGGGGGGGAGGGAGGAGGATCCAAACAGCAAACACCACATCCAAACACCTCTTCCAAAAACAGCCTGCTGGGAGGTGGGAGCTGGAGGTGGGGCCGTTCCTTACCTCTGACACCACAGTGGCCAGAAACCACTGTTTTCAGCAAACGCATCAAAAGACCCAATTCCAACGGGAGAGGCCTTTGGGGGCCCTTGGCCTATATACACAGGAGAGCTGGCTGAGGGATGGGGGCAGGGCAGGAGGCAGAGGCCCCTGCATGGATCAGAGGGGTGACAAGGAGGGGCACCTACCAGGCCCAGGGATGTGAGAAGAGCAAGTGGCCAAAACACAATGCAAGAGGAGGCACCCGTTGGATACCAGTTATGTGAAAGTTTAAAGCAGACACAAATGTCATCATTGTTTATGAATACATTCATGTGTCACAAAAAGTATAAAAAGGTACGCAGGAATGTGGCAACTTCTGGGTAGCAATTACAGTGTGGGGGAAGAAGGGAGGGGGTTTAACTGGTCTGTATCGTTTCATCTGATTTTTAAATAGGAATCTGAAGCAAATATTTGAGCTGTTAATATTTGCCATGCCTGGGTGGTGCGTGTATAGATATTTGTTAGATTATTTTCTATAGTTTGAAATACACAGAAGGGGGAAGACAGACTACGGAGTAGTATGAGCAGTTTGATGCCATAGTTTAAAAACCATGTGCACGTGTGCATGTTTGCATACCTGCTTGGACGGTGTGCACACGACGTGACTGTGGTTCTATGAGGCTCCATGTGTATCTGTGCCTGTGCAACATTACGTGTGTGTGCGTGTCCCTTTGTGTTTGCCACTAGCATGTGATCGTGTGTGTACCTGCATATCCGTGTGTGTGTCTCTGTGCAACTGTGTGTGTATCTGTGGCTGTGTCTGTGTTTGTGTGTCCTTGAGTGTGTGTACGTGTGTGCATATCTGTGCTAGTCTGTGTAATTGTGTCTCTGTGTGTGTACATGAACAGGAAGACGAATGGCTGGACAAACACCAAATTACTGACTCAATGCTCTAGGGGAAGGAGAAACCAATTTTTGTTTCTCCTTTGTACATTTCACTGTGTGTGTGTGTTTTACAATGATCATGCAGTGTTTACTGAAACTTAAAATTACTTTTAAAAAGACAGTAAAGAGTTTCACAGTTTGAAAAATGAGAAGAATTTATCAGCAGACCCTTGTTGGCCTCTGGTGCTCCTCTTTGCCCCCTGGGTCCCAACCTGTGATTCCATCCACCCCCAAGCGCCCTGAGCTCAGAGGAGCCTGAGGACACTTCCTAGCCCCACCCCAGAGGCATGGCCCAAAGCAAGCATGAGATTTCTCTGAAGTTTTGTGTTTTATCTTTAAATGTTAGGCAACTTTTACATTCTCCCCTTTAACGTCTACATGTTTGTCTTAATTATACAATCACAAGGTTTCAACCCCCAAATCTTGGAGTCAAGGGGCCTCCGTCTCTCTCATCTTCCCCAGCTTCTGTGTGTCTCCTGTAGGTGGGTGTTGGGCCAACAGCACCTGGAGTAGGATCCGGGGGTGTAACTACAGCCCCACCAGAGATTCTAGGAAGGTCAGTTGGAAGGAAGCAACCATCACCCTTCCAAGAGCTCTCACACTGGCCTGAGCCGAGTTCTCTGCCATCTGCTCTCACCGTGAATCCTCCCAGCGAGGGCATCAGCTCCTCGTCATTACCATTCTCACGTTACACGGGAGGATACTGGGACTCTGCGAGATGAAACCCAAGGTCACCCAGTTGTACTCAGACTTCCAAGATCATGCCACGCGTAGACTGTCTCCCTAAAGCCTAGGCCCAAGGCAAATGAATTGCCTGTGACATGGAAGAGGGTCAGTGTACGGACCTTTGGCCAGAGGAAGGAGCCCTGGGCAGGGTTGATGACTGATCAAAGGCTGCCTCACTGTCTCAACTCCTGCTCTCCCTCAGGCCCATGTAAATGCATCTGCAGGGCCCCTAGTCCTGTGACCCCAGGGCCACTAAGATGGTCACCTGGAGCCAGAGTGGCAGCCACACAGTCATTTAGGGACAGGACTTGGTATTGAAGGCTGTCCTCCCAGGGATCCAAGGCAGCCTGACATTGATTGAGAGACCTGGAGGACCCTAGAGAGGCCTCACCGGCCACCAGCAACTGCAATAGCCTCACCTTTCTGGAATTCTTTTCTGTGTGTTGCATGGGGAGAGCAGCACGTGTTGATTGCCCTGATGAACGCCAGGTGATTTGCAGGGAGCAGCCTCGTCTCCATACCTTGAAGGGCTGCTGGGAGGACCTTGGGACTTCACTGACGCAGCTTGAGAGAAGGAGCCCTGAGAAGAAGCCAGAGGTGAGGAGGTCAGAGGGCCTGGGGTCAGTGGCCTGGCTTGGTTGCCTGAGGGCAGCCATACTCTGCCAGGTCAGGGGTCTCCTGGGACCCTAGAAGGATCTGGAGCATCGTCTCTGTTGCAGCCTCTCTGGAAGTGCCCTTTGGGGTTTGGGGACTCTCTTTCCTGTTTAGCTTCTACCTTCCTTCCAGCTCAGGGTTCTGGTCAACAGCTCTTCACCTTTGGGGCCCCCAGCATGAAGCCCATCCTCTCCTCCTTCCCCCAAGGCAGATCCTGACTGTGCCCAGGGTCTACCTTCCACCCCACGGCCCAGGGCAGCAACCCCAGCTCCTCACAGGCCAGGGCTAGACCTGATTGGTCCACGCTTTCCCCGGGACTGGCTTGCAAGTTGGCCAGTGGTGTGCCGAAGAGGGCTGTGAGGGCCACTGGATCACTTCCTTGGTCTCCACGCATGTCCAGGGAGCTAGCAAGGTTTGAGCTACAATATCTTGAGACCAGAGAGGACCTGGCGTAAGGACAGGAGAACATGCAGAGGGTGGCAGGGGAAAGTGGAGAGAGCCTGGGTCCTTGGATCCTCCGCTGAGTCTCTGAACGGACTCCAGGACCACTCTGCCTCCCACTTGCCATTATGCAAAAGAATCCACCTTCCTTATCATGAAGCCCATTGTGAGGTAGGTTTTGTTACTTGCACCCAAACTCACACAGACTCTGAAAATCTGGTAAACGTGCTGAAACTTCTCTTGGGAAGAAGGCTCAGATGCAGAATATTGATCAAGTTGGGGGAGGGGGCCCTGGTCCCCCAGAGGTCATCCACAGGCCACCACCATGTTAGGATTCCTGGTCAGGAGATCTCAGTCTTGTCTCATTGCTGTCACCCTGATGCTGGCTCCCGGGGAGGGCAGGTTGGTTTGGTTCTGAGCAGCATACCTGGGCTGCAGGCAGAAGGCAAGAAGGAGGGGGTGGTCTGTAGCCCCTGGAGACAGGCCCTGCTTTCCCTCCCATCAGAAACCAGAAATCCCACTGAGCATAGTGCTGGGGACTGAGCAGAGCTCCGTGAGAGCCGGCTGGTCTTGTTTTATTAACTTCAAGGACAGGCAGTTGGCCCCCACCTGCCATCCCTCAGTCAGGTTTGGACCGCTGCTCTCCAGGGAGCCGGTCACCTGGCTGACAGTCAGGAGGCCCTGTTTGCAGGGCGCAGCGCTAACAGTCCCACATTTTACCACTCCCTTTAGTTTCCAGATTCACTGGGGTCCTACAGGGAAGACTGGGGGATTCCTGGAATGGAGGCAGAGGCCAAGCGGATGTCAGACTGTGATCTCTGGGCCAGGCTGGCTCTGTCCTAGCCTGGTCAGGGGCCATCTCTGCGTCTGGAGGTGGGCGCAGACCTGGGAGGGCCTGGCTTTCACCCCAGCGAGCCTGGGGGTGGCGGAGCAGACAGCCCTAACACCCCAGCCTCTCCCCATCCCCCTACCCTCACACTCTCCCCTCTCGGAGGGCAGCAGCTGTGTCTCAGTCTGTACATCTGCTATCTGGTCACAGACTTCCTGAGAAGGTTGAGTTCAGCAGACTTTGGGACCTCATCTTCTTATTAAGGTCTTGATCTTAAAATATAGTCTGCACACAGCAACAACAAAATACAAAGTCACACTGGAAGCCGCTTTGAAACATCCGGAGACTGAGGTCTTGTCCACAACACCTTGATGCAGGGCCTGACCCACATCAGCTTCATGTGAGCTCATGCAGAGCAGCCTCAAAGCGAGCTCAGGTTTGAACCCACTTTTTAAAATATGTGAACCATAATGGATCAAGTGCTAGTCAAATCTACTGCTAAAGCAAGTTCCATTCTGATTAGACTCACATCCAATTTCATCTCTTGGACTATAGTAATGAAACAAGATGTATTTCACAAGATGTTTCAGTATGCTTTCAGTCCTAATTATACATCTTCAATTAAAAAAAACAAAACCTCACCACTGCATTATATACCACAGATCATTAAATGCCTATCACAGCCCACGTCCAAGTCTCTCAATGTAAAAGATGGTTGACATTTAGCCGGGAACTTTTAAAACACTTGAGAATAAATTATGGCCCAAACTTACTCTTCTTAATGACACGTATAAAGTTCAGCTCTTTAATAAAAGGAGTCAGGAATATGAAAACAAAGTTTCCAGCAATATTAAGGAAATAAAGGTCTTTCAAAATGGTCAGTTCTTGTTTCAATTAAATTGTGCATTTTTAATATAGTTGGTATAAAGTGAAACTCTTAAAAAAACATCGAGGAATTTAAAATGAAATGGAACATCCTCTTTGCAGGGTCACCAGTACCACAGTGAGATTTGTCTCTTAAACAATGACACTTAGTATCTCTGTAGTTCCATGAATACTTTTGAAGTGTCATATTAAAACCAATCTCATGGCCTTGAGGCAAAGAGAAGCAATTAGTCTTGGAGTTGTGAATAAATAAAAATCCATTTATACACCCGTCCTTGACATGTACCTTGCAAATCTTAGAAACTTCACCTAGTGGGAAAAGAAATGTTAAATCATGAATACCAATACTAATCACATCGCCATGTGGCTTCCTAAAACAGTTTAGTTTATACCCATCTAAGTATTAATTTATATGTATATATTCATCCATATTGAACACAAAACAAAGAAGCTCTAGCAGGCACCTAGCGGGTGAGGGGAGAGGGGTGAGGGGCGATGGGGTCACAGGGGTGGCCCCATGACAAGCAAGTTTTCAGTGGGTCTCTGCTCAAATGGGAGCCTGGAGCATTCTTCCTCATGCCTCCCTCCTCCCCGCCCCCACCCCCAAGCACTCCAAGGCTTGAGAAGGGGGAAGTTTCTTTCCCTGAAGAAGTTTGGGGTATCCACACACTCCTTCCTCCATTTGTGATCCCAGCCAGCATTTAAGGGAGGACACAGGAGATCAAAGTATTTGGATACTTGTTTCACTTCTTATTTGGGCCCATCCCTTCAGCTGTGCCGGGTGGGGTGGGTGTAGATGGGAGCTTTGCTGCTCCTTGGCCTTGCGTAGCCCTGGAGAGACTGGTACAGTCACCAAGGAGCAAAGCAGATCTGCTGGGCTTGGCGAGATGTAGAGAGCAGACAGTGGTGCTGTCAGGCCCGAGCTGGGAGCCAAAAGCCCGGGGGCGCCAGGGCGTGGGGAGCTGAGTGGGCAGCCCATGGGCCGTGCGGGAGCCGCTGCACAGATCCCTGACCTACTTCCAGGGCCCCTTTCTCTTCAAGGAGCTGCTAAGAATCCATAAATTAAGGAAATTAACTGATGGGGCCTGCGGCATCTTTGTAAGCTATTTAAATCTATAAATTAACAACATCTTCTGCATATATCAAGTAATTGAACTAACTGCAGGGATGTAACTTTAATGAGAAAATTTCCCCCTTCTCCTGTAGTTCGAGCTCTAAAGTAAATAAATAAATAAAACCTTCCCTTAGGAGGAAAGTTCCTCCTTATTCCCGCGTGGAGAAGTTACAGTACGGCGGTGCGGGCCCTCTTTCCACGCGCGAGGTCTCCTGGTCAAGGGAGGCAGGCCCCCACCTTGTCCTCTTTTCACCAGCGCCCCTCCCGTGAGTGAAGCCGCTAGAGGGCGTCCAGGTCCGGCTGGAGCTCGGGGTAGGGGGCCCCGCGCCGTTCCCGGCCGGAGCGCACCGGTCCTCCAGCTCGAGCCTGGCTCTGGCCCGGGCGTCCCCGGAGCCGGACGGGGGCGCAGTGCAGGCCGGGCGCAGTGCACCGGAGGCTCCGCGCTCCGTTTCCTAGGAGCCGGGAAATGGTCCAGGAGGAGGAGGGGGGACGGGCGGGGCGCAAGGGAAACAGGAGAAAGAGGAAGGGGAGGAGGAGGTAGAAGAGGAGGAGGAAGGGGCAGCCGACTCGAGGACCAGGAGGGACGCCCCGGGCGCAGGCCTCAGCGCCGCGGGGAGTCTTGGCGGTAGACGTCTCCATCGCGCCGCGCGCGTAAAGGAAATGGCGCGTCTGGCGGCGGGGGGCCGGCCGGGCACCCCCCGTGCGCCCCTCCCCCGCGGCGGCCGACCGCGTGTCCGCAGACGTCACGGGCGGCGCTGCTCCCCGGTAGAGGGGCAGCCGGGGCAGAGACCCGGGGAGGAAGGCCAGGGAGGGGGAGGGGCGGCACCGGCCCCCGGCTCCTCTGCAGCCCCGGCCGACTCGCAGCCCAGTTTCTTCCCAAGTCCCGCCCCTACCCTCGGGCGCCGCGGCGGCGGCTGCTCTTCTCTTTGTAACCGAGGAGTCAAGAAATGTGAGAAACGTGCCCTGTGTTACTTATTTGGGAGCCGAAAATTTATGCCCAGCTGAAAGCGCCCGGGGAAATATTACATCAGATGAAATGACAATGATTAAAATCAGCTTCTCCCCCGCCCCCTCCCGAGCCCGGAGGAGTCCCGGGCGCCGCGTGGCTGGCCGGCGGGGGGCGGGGGGCTGGGCGGCGGAGGGCGCGGGGACCTGGGCGCACCACTCCCGGGAGGGTCCTGGCGGAGGCCCCGGCGGGAAGGCGCGGACTCCGGGGGAGGCGGGTGGTGATCGCCCGGCTGAAGGAAGGGAAACGGCGCGTTTTTGTCGCCGAGCGCGGCAGGCGCGGGCGCGCGGAGCTAATTGCGACTCTAATCCTCTGCCCCGCGGCGCAGCCGAGCCCCGAGCCAGGAGTCGCCGCGCGCTCCCGCTCGCGCTCGCAGCGCTGGGTAATTTGGAGCCGGATCGCTGCCCTTTGCGTCCGGGCTCGGCCGCGACGGGACGCGGGCTACGGGCTAAGGTGGGGGGCTGGCTTTCTCGCCAGCAATCGGGGAAGGCCGCTGGAGAGAGAGGAGGGAGGAGAGGAGGTGGGAGCGGCGGGAGGGCAGCCGGAGAGCGGCGCGAAGAGGAGGCGGCGGCGGCCGCCGCGAGGAGGGGAGGAGGCGAGGGGAGGGCGGGGAGGGGAGGCCCCGGCGCGCCGCGCCGCGAGGGGCCGCGCGAAGCGGGGGCCGGGGCGGGAGGGGTGGGTGGGGGGAGGGTTGGGGGCGAGAGAGAAAGTAACTCCAGGACGAGACCGGAGCGACCCGCGCAGCAAGCAGAGGCGGCGAGGCTGCGCCCGGCGCCCGAGACCAGCGGCTGCGCGGGGCGGGGGCTGCGCCCGAGTCCGATCCGCCGCTCCGGCTCCGAGGTAAGCCTCGCGCGGGCGGCCACCGCTCAGCGACGCGCACCCCTGTCCCTAAAGTGGCTGCGATACCCAGAAAGTCGCCCGGCCGTGATTCGGACGTGGGAGGGGCGGCTGCTTTGTCCCGGTGCAGGGCGGCGGGGGCTGGCGGCACGGGGGCACCCAGCACAAAGGCCTGGTGCGGGAGGGGGGGACTGCCCACGTGGGCCGGCCCTGGCCCCGGGTGGACCCTCCCCACGCGGGCGGACACCGAGCTTCCTGCCGCACGGGGAGGTGGGGGTGAGGGGGTGTTCACGTCCCGGCACTCGGGCCTCAGTGCCGGGCCGAGCGCCCTGCAGGGCCGGCGTGTTTCCGGGGTCAGAACCCGGCTCACGCAGCCGGGGCTTCGGCTGACTGGGCCCGGCTTGGTGTCCAAATCAGAGAGAGAAAAAGTCTCCAGCGGGACAGATGTGTGTCCTCTGACGCCCACCCGCGAGTCCGAAACGGAGCGGGAGGGGCTGGCGGTCTGGTGGTCGTCCCAAGCGCGCGGGATCTGGAGCCCCAGGCGGGCCGCGCGGAGATGCGATCGCCGCCTCCGGATCCCCGATTCCCGCCGGTACCCCCTGACCTGGACGCGCGCACCGGCACACTCTCAAACAGCCCCCCTCCCCCGTAGCTGGAGCGCGTTTCAGTCCTCCCGCGCCCCCCACCTCCGGCTGCAGAAAGATCAGCTTCAAGTTTTCACTCTGCGTCTCAAATGTGCATGAAGGAATTTAAGTGCACGAGTGAATAACAGCATTAGTTTCAATTAATTTTTTTTTAAATCCCGGCAACAATAAACTTTGAGAACAAAAGCGCTTTTACGTTCTTAATTAGGCGAGCTTCCCATCTGTGGTCTCTAAGTATCTGCCTCTTGATTTAACTTTGTCTTCCGCCCCGCCCGTGCCGCACACCCTCGCGGTCCTGCCAGGGGCTTTGGGTGCCGCGGCCACCGCCGCCCGCGGCGCCGCCGGCCTGCACCCAGCCGGCTCCGGCCGCCCCGAACGAAGTTCACACCGGCCGGCGGGCTCCTTGGCCGGGCTGGCGCGCGCCAGGTGGCCCGCCTGCCTCCCTTCCGGCCCGCCCCCTGGACAATTCTGCAGGCCCCTGGCCCTCTTGCCCGGGGCTGGCGCCCTGGGCGCAGACCTGAAGGGAGTTCTCGAGCCGCCTTCTGTTTACCTTTTATGGTTAAAATAACAGCTTAGCAAAGAAGCGACTTCATGAAGAAGCGATTTAGTGAAATCGTCTCAAGCTGCCGCAGCTCAGCCAGTTTAATCACCCCCGGAGAGCTGAACAACTGCGAGCACAATGGGACACAAAATCATTTTGTGTGTAAATGAGCGTGGCATTCTGCTCGCTTCCCTCTGCTCGGGCGGGCGGGGCTCGGTGGCGGGCGGGCGCGGGACCCCGGGCTCCCGCCGCAGCTTGGAGAAGTGGGTCAGTACCCAGCCAGTTTGGAAACCCGCGGGCCGTGCAGCACACTACCGCCGAGGCCCCTGCAACAGGCGGTTTGGCTGAGCCTCGGGAGGGGCGTGGCGAGCTGGGGCTGGTCGTGGGTTTGGTGCTGGTGCTGGCGGAATGAACTTGTGTCTCTTCCTGCACCCACTTTATGCTTCTGACCTTGGCAGTGGTCTCGGGGAAAGGGTCGTTGTCCAGCACAGATGCGTTTGTCGGAGGGAGCAGTGGAGGTTCGCGGCAAGGCGTACAGCCTGGGGCTTCCAATGGTGAGTTTCTGGTGTGCCATGAACATCAGGTGGTGCTTGCGATGGGAAAGTCTGGGTGAGAACAGGATGGGGCAGCTTTTGTGATGGGTACTTGGTGTTAAATGTCACTTCTGAGTAGCGTCCTGGCAGTAGGGCCGGCACTGTGCAGTCTGCTTTGATAGACGTTCCATCGGAATTCCTTCCAGCACAGTTTATCCTCAGTGTGGCTTTCCTTCTGACTCCTCCCTAGCAGAGCCTCCCAGGGCAGGATAGCCCATTCCTGAGATATGTTTTGGTTTCTCAGAACTTCCTTGAGATAAATGACCTCGTTTTCTTTTTGAAGCTTGCGGGAACTCAGGAATGCCCAAAGCAGCAGACCCTGGACAGCTAGAAGTTAAACATGACTGTCTGCTAATAGCCACCCCCCACCGGTTTCCTGTCAGAGGACTTGCCAGGACACTGAGGGCAGGACAAATCCTGGGAGAGTGGCCCGGCTTAAATTTGCAGGATTTGATTCTCATTGGACCTTGGTTCATGTATTAAAACTGGATGTTGAATTTCAAGGCACAAAGTCAATCCTTGAGAGAGGTTCGGGTTAAACCTGCAATGGATAAGTCCAGGTTTAGGTATATGGAAGCCAGTGGGGGCGGGGGGGTTGATAGTCACTGTTCACGTCTCCCCCAGCCCCGGGTCAGTGGAAGGGGTCTGCTTAAACCTGCTCTCCTCCAGCTCTCCTGCATAGGGCCTGCATCTCAGACAGCTTCTAGAGACTGTGGGACAGGCTTATTTCAGGTGGTTGCGGCCGAGAGGAGAGGCAGGAGAGAGTGTTCATTAGCTGAGCTGCTGTCTCCTTCTGGCCAGCTTTCTCTAATGCCTTGGGGCTGTGATCCCAAAGGGATCTGGAATATATTAGGCACAGACAAGACCATTCCCGGGGTCTGGGGAGAAACTGCAGAGGTGCAGGCTGGGCAAACAAAGAGAAGTTTTCTTCTCTAAGGAGCCACAGGGGGAGCGGTGGCTTCCTAAGTGACTTTCGCTCTTCCCTGGCTTCTCTGTGTCCAGCCAGTTGCAAACTGCATCTTAACACTGCAGAGATGGTGTTCAAAGAGGTCCTGGGGCTCCGCAGCCCATGGAGGGTGGGGGGGATCCTCTCTGAGCTGTGGTTCCCAGGGTTCTCTCTGAAGTAAGAGGAGACATGCTTGGTAACGTGTCTCAAAACCAAAATACCAAGAAAATCAGATTTGTTCTGAAACATTTTGGGGGCAATAATGGTGAGCATATGTTTCAGTACTGTCATTAGCTGAATTAGCAGACATGGAGCTGCCCTGAAAACACATGTGTGAGTGTGTGTGTGTGTGTGTGTGTGTGTGTGTGTAAGTAATCTCCTATGGCCCGGAGGCTTGCTTTGGGGTGTGGGGACAGGATAGTAGCGGGCAGTGTGGTAGGGCATGGGGTCCTGGGACGCATGTTCATAAAGGACAATTGTAAGCATCTTTGACTGGGAGACACGGCGCCCAGGACCACTAAGGAGTAAGTCCTGTCTGGTTGTGTTGGTGCTTCCCACAGATACTCTGGGCAGTGATGGAAGCCTAGATGCCTCACCGCAAGGAGCGGCCGAGCGGGTCCTCGCTTCACGCCCACGGCAGCACTGGCCCCGCGGTGAGAGCCAGCAGGGTGGGCTGGGTCAAGGGCTGGTGTCCTCCTCTTTGCCATCTTCCCAAGCGCCAGCTCACTGGCTGCCCTTCCTCGCAGCTGCAGCCATAGCTGTGGCATTCAAGAGATGGCTGTTGACTGGCCGTACGATTATGTATTTTTTTTTGAAACAAAAATGCTCTTAATTTGATGTGAAATTTACTACATGTATAAAACTCAATGCCTTAGGTGCTGAGGAAGTCCCTAATTTAGAGGTGTCTCGTTACTGAGACAAACTTGCAAAAACCCCTGAATCCCAATTCACAAATTGGTGATTCGTTTGTCAGGGGATATTTCACATCTAACACATAAGCCCACGACCTTTAATTAGAATTTTGCAGTTTGTTTTATGCCCCTGGAGGCTGACACCTTGAAAAAAATTTTTTTTCTTGATTTCTTATTGCTAATAAGCATCTTTCTTTTTTTCCTCTGGTACTTTGAAGAAAATGATGCAAATACACTTAATTACAGTTGTGGCCACAATTTGTCAGCTGAATATGTGGTCAGGCACAGGCAGAAGTGATCTGATTAGATCTGTGATCACATTGGCAATAAAAGGAGTGCATAGCTCCGTCGTGGAGAAACCCTTGTTTTGTGCCTTGTTTCCATCTCCAGGAGGGAGGAAGCATGTCTCGGTTGTCTCTCACCCGGTCGCCTGTGTCTCCCCTGGCCGCCCAGGGCATCCCACTGCCAGCCCAGCTCACTAAGTCCAACGCGCCCGTGCACATCGACGTGGGCGGCCACATGTACACCAGCAGCCTGGCCACGCTCACCAAGTACCCTGACTCCAGGTAAGAGCCGAGCCCCTCATGGCACAGGGGCGTGCAGTGGTGACAGGCAGCATCTGTAGCCTGCTACCAGCCAACATGCAGGGCTCTCCAAGGCCCCCCTGCTCCTAGACCTGGGGAGCTAGGGTTCAGGAAGCTGAGTGCCCCTGTCAATGGCTGCTTTGCACAGGGACTTGTGACCCTGAGCTGGTGGCATTGGTAGTGTTAGGGGGAGTTCCTGACTCACTGGCAGAGGCCACTTTTCAGAGCCGGCCCCACCTGCAGCTGGCCAGCAGCTGGCTGGGGAATCTCATGTTCCTTCAGGTTACTCTTGAGTGAGACTCAAGCCTGGCCTTTGCAGGGGACTATTCGTGAGCAATGCTGTGTACTTCTTGGGGTCATGCTGGGGAGAAATAGTTCATCCTATTTCCGAGTCTAACCCTTGGGATAGAGCATAAGGGGAAGGGTGAGGGGCAGCTGCAATTTGTCATCTTTGCCTGTTTGGGTGGCCACTGCTGGACCCTAAGGGCTAGCAGCAGGCTCCCTTGGATTTGGGGGGGTTGCAGTGACTGGCTAGGAATTCCATGATGTCCGGGAGTATCCACAGCTGTGGATAAGCATGAGCCACATACCGCCATCAGCGGGCAAAGCATCTCTGACCAGGACCCTCCCTACAGGGAGCTTTACACTCTGCCCAGCTCCCCAGTGCTCCTGACTCCTGGACTCATCTGTGGGAGGCGCCGGGCACTGCTGACTCTCCTGCTCTTGCCTCTCAGGCATTTCTCTCCTAGGGGCAGACCTGGTTTCCGCCTATAACAGCAGGGCTGGCCAGAGGTGGGACGGGTCTCTGAGCATCTCCTGGAGATGATGCCGCATGCTCCTGGTGCACTGAGGGCTGGCGGCGGGAGGGCCACGGCTGCAGGGCATCACCTCTGTTTTAGACATTTAAAATAAAAAGAGGAGTTAATTAATCCCCCAGACACCGAGGGGGATCGGCTCCGGGAAGCTTTCTGATCAGGCTGCCTCGTCGCCGGTGTGGCTGCTCAGAGCACGGAGGATTCATAGCGTGTGGAAGTGGCGGCTTTGGGAGCTCGTTGGAGGCCAGGGTGGCGCCCTCCAGGGGGGAGTGCTGGAGGTGGATGCAGTGTGTCGTTCAGAATTTGGGGAACCGGGTGCAGGTGACGGTTGGAGCTTCACTCCCTCAGCAGACAGAGGCTAGGCCTGGGGCACCTGTGACCTGGGGGTCTCGGAGGGGGCAGCATCCAGGAGGCCACGTCAGCCGTGTCGGCCTGGCACTCTCTGGCAGAGCCCTGTCGGGGATGGGAGATGGATTCTACTTATTTAATTTCAATTTAGCCTTCCGCGGCGTTCGCGCCTTGTTTGAGATAGATCATCCCTTAATCGGTTGACGACGTTTGCGGGTGAAATTCATAAAACCCTTGCCCACAACGTCTCTGAAGAGTGTTCCCTGAAATCAGACACTTGCCTTTCTGGAGTAATCATGGCCCAGGCCTGCGGGGAACGGCCTCCTCATTCTGTCTCCAGGCTGCTGCCTGGAACAGGGCGGGCAGGGGGTGGTCCTCCCCTCCCAGACCCACAGCCCATCCTCACCCATTGTCCTGCTCTGACGTGGGGTGGGCCATCTTGCTGGCCCGTGACCTGTGGGACCCTCGGGCCAGCAGGATGTGCCCAGAGGGGGTGGCGGTCTGCATTTTTTCCTGGGGCTGGGCCTCAGGATGAATCTGTTGTTCTGCCTGGATGGCTTCCGGCTCACAGGAGAGCTGCTCCTCAGGCCTGAAGCTTTGGCCTAGAGGCCAGGGGAGGGCGGTGTGACCTGTAGGACAGTCAGGACAGTGGGTCAGGCCAGGCCTGAGAAGTGGGTTGGGCAGCTCTGCTGGCCAGAGCCCCTCAGATCTCTCTCATCCTTCTTTGAGTAAATTATTAAAATTAAAAAACTGTTTTTCACTAATTCTGGAAACAAAGATCAATCCCTCATCCAGGGTCACCGATGTATAAGTCGCCTGGAGATGGAGAATTGTGTTAAGGTCACCGGGGGTGGAGGGGGTTCTGGATGTCAGCAAAGTCCCACCCTGGGCAATGCCGGGAGCCCCCCCAGCCCCTCAGGTCCCGGTGCCCACAGAGCTGTGCCTGGGCTTCTGGTTCTTGGCAAGGCAGGGAGCGCCAACGGGTCCTCGCCCAGAGCCGGCCCTGCCCAGCTGCCCGGGGCTGGGAGTGGACCCCTGTGTCTGCCAGCGCACTTGCTGGAACATCGTTTAGCTCCTGCCACGGCGGCCCCACGCTTGCGTTCATCCTCGCTGTGGGAAGCAACAAATTAAGATGTCCAGGAACTTTAGAACTAATAAAACCTGCCACTGAAACATGCAGGAAATTGGAGCCGAGGCTTAAAAAAAAAAAAAAAAGGAACAAAGAGAAGAAAAAGAAAACAACCCCTATCAGCTGGGGTCAGAACTGGCCAGCTTATTCTGTGGAAGACTTCTGAAGTTGGTACCCCGAACCTGCAGCCTCCCTCAGAATGGCCTGCGGTGGCAATGGACTCTTAAGACCACACACACACACACACACACACACACACACACACACACACACACGTCGGGGAGCGCCCTTTGAAGTGACTAACCTTCCCTCAAGCTGCTCATGTCCTTGATAGCTTCAGACCCTGAGGGCATGAAAGGCCTTAGTCTGTGAAGAGACACCGGACCTGGAAAGACCTAGAACCAGCCAGTCCTGAAATAAGGCAGATTGAGAGCCTTCCAGCCTTGGACCCATAAGACAACCTAGAACCCAGGAAGCCCTGGATGTGGTGGATTGGGAGTCCTCTAGACCAACAGGTCTGGAGCTTCACAGCCTGATGTCAGGAGGGTTTGCAACACAAACAGCCGTGGAACACGGCTTGCTGCACACAGAGCTTGAGCTCAGCCAGGGAGGGTGGAGAAAATTCTGCAGGGAGGCTGAGGCTTCGCACTTGCTGGCTCACCTGTGGAAATGGCTCTCACTTCTTCCTGCTGGTGCCATGGGGGGTCCCTCCGCAGTCTGCGGACGATTGCCCGTGGCACCTGGCGCCTCGCTCAGGCCTGTCTGTCTCCAGGGCTGCTGGGTGGCCCTTATTCTGATATCTGGATGCCCAAGCTCTGCTGAGGTTAGGTCTTGGGGAGTTTGAGGCCTGGAATAGGCCTTGGAGCCCACAGAGCTTTGCAGCGGGGCTGTGTTCTCCAGTATCATTGTCATCAGGCCTGGGGGTTGATAGGGCTCCTTGGCCTTTGGAGCTCTGAGATGAGTTGTATCTGGGTGACCGCAGCGCTGGCTCCACAGGCTCGGGCCTCCCCACACCTCCCCGTGGGCCCTGGCCTGCTCATGCCCTTCTACGAGGCAGCCTTGCCCTTTATATGGCCCCGCTGGGCCATGTCCCCAGAGTGACAACAGGTTAGTCACTCTACCCCGGGCAGACCCTCCTGGCCAATGCCTGAAGTGTACCAGGCCACCAGAGTGGCCCCGAGAGAGCTTTGGGTGCCGTGACCCCCCAGCTCATTGCCCTGGCACACAGTGGCAGGAGTGGGGCAGGGCCTGCGGAGGGGGCTGCTGAGGGAGAGGGGAGCCTTCCTGGGAGGTCTTGCTGGTGCAGGTAGAGAGTGAGGGTGCTAAGCCTCGGCTTGTACAGGTTGGGCTGGAAGGCCTGGGGCCCAGGTCGGGGCCACCCTTCTCCCGGGCTGTGCAGGGTCCAGCTGGGGACGTGTATGTGGCCCTGCCTGTCTGCCGAAGGATGTCTGGAGATGCTGCCCCTGGGGAGACGCCGCCGACCTCCCTGCGGTTCCCGAGTCAAGCTCTTGGCTGTCCCCACCCCTCTTCGGGGTATCCTAACTCTCCCCACCGGGGCCTGGGGTCTGCAGAGGAAGTTAGCCAAACCAGAGCCTGCCGCCCTGGGAAGTGGGGAGGCCTGGTTTCTCCTCCCTGGAGTGGAGAGGGCCAGGCATCAGGGCGCCCCGAGAGCCTCCTGCAGGTCCTGTGCTTCTATCAGAGCCACTGCCCTTCAGAAGGTGGGGTGCTGGGACCTGGCCTCCCCTCGCGGTCCCCTCCCCAGTGTGCACACGCTGTAGCACACATGCATGCATTGGAGCACGTGTGTGCACTGTTCTGTGTGCATCCACACTGGGGTGTGTGTGGGTGTGTGCGTGTGTGTGTGTGTGTGTGTACGTGCGTGCACTGTAGCTGCACAAACACGTGCTGTCCCCGGTGCCTGCCTCTGTTCTCCCCTGGGGTTCCCTGAGCGCAGGGCTGTGGGTGGTTCGTCAGTGAGTTTGTTGAGCGTACGTAGCTATGTCTCTGGTGGACCCGTGCTGCCTGGTGTGTCCCTCACCGGGATGTGTCTGGGTCTGCCTGTGATTTGTGTGTTGTGAGCGAGGGGACCATGTGACGCCGTGCCTGCTGCCCGGGTGTGTCCTGTCCGCTGCTCGTTCACGCAGGTTGGGCGAGGTGGATGTGTGTGACCCGGGAGCGTGGCAGCTGGTTTCCATGTGTTCACTGGGCAGGCGGCCGTGAGCTGGCGTGTCTGGTGGTCAGTGGGGGTTTTCTGGGCAGTTCTGTCCGGCAAGGGTTTGTGTGCGTGGGACGGGGTGGATGTGTCTGTGTCTCACTGTAGTTTTCCAGGCCTGTGACCTGTGTCAGCGGGCAGGCGGGTGTACAGAGCTGGGTGTGCCTCTCTCTGGCTGTGGCTTGTGAGTGTAGGCGGGGCGTGTGCGTGTGCTGGTTGCCGCGCTGGTGTCCCGGCTGCCGCTGGCGTGTGCAGACATCCTTCTCAGTCCTGGCGGAGCCCAGAGTCACCATGTAAGGCCCCTCGCCCCTCCAGCAGGGCGAGCTCTAAGGAGTCGGGGTGGGGCAGGTGGACCCGCCCTTCCCTCCCACATCTCCGCCCCCATCTCTCCCAGAATAAGCCGCCTCTTCAATGGCACCGAGCCCATCGTCCTGGACAGTTTGAAGCAACATTATTTCATCGACCGGGATGGGGAGATTTTCCGCTATGTCCTGAGCTTCCTGCGGACGTCGAAACTGCTGCTCCCAGATGACTTCAAGGTAAGTCCGCAAATGGCAGCTGCACGGCACACTGCCTGTGCGGTGGCATTCCACAGGGTAGGCTGTGACTTCATAAATGGACCCACAGTTGTCACGGCAACCATAAAAACTTAAACGATGAAGCCGAGGGCTAAATCAGTTTTCCTAAACTAATTTTGTTTTCTCACATTTTTAGCTTATTTATCAGGGTGTAACAACAATTAAGCAGCGGCAGTGGCGCTTACCCCGGTTTCATGTTTGTCGTGTTGAACGACTGTCGTGTGCCGGAGTTACAGGAGTTAGAGGTTCCCAGATCTGTTCCTCGTAGGCACTTGGCAGGGGGAAAACTGATCCAGTCCAAACACCCTTAAACAAAAGGTTGCCCCCAGGTCTCCGGGCGAGCCTGTCTGCGGCAGCCGACCTGGTTCTGAGAGTCCTGCCTCCGGTGCTGGGCCCCTCACGGCACGGGGATCCCGGAGGCAGGAAGCCCATGCCTGGGCTACCCCAGCTCCAACCAGCAAATGTCCTTCCTTTCTTTCTTCCTGCCGGCACCCAGAGGACCCAGTGGCCCTGGGGCTGTTTCATCCCTCATTCAGTTCAATTCCTGGGTGCCAACAGCCGAACTCCGGCTGAAAATGCAGTGAAAGACAAGGCAGACGTGGGTCCTGTCCCCATAGTGGTTACGGTCTAGTGGGAAGACAGACGATGAACCAAAAAACACTTGAATTCCACAGGGGCAAACACTTCAGAGAAGCAGAGAGCATTGTGAGAGTGAACCACGCGGAAAGCGGGCCCGGGTGGGTTTGGAGGCAGGGCTGTTTCTCTGGGTGATGGTGGAGGAACAGGGGCAGACAGGTGTGAGGGCCTTGGTGGGGAGGGCAAGGAGCTGGATGGGTGGCAGCCTGGGACCGTATGAACTGGGAAGGAAAGAGCAGGAAGGAAGGCTGCTGCTTGGTGTCAGGACCTTGGTGGCCGGCTCAGCGTTTGGCTTTTTACCCTGAATGCAGTGGAAGGGTTGTGAGTAGGGGCATGACCGTCAGATATGTTGTGTGGAAAAGGATACGCAGGGGAGCAGGAGGGTAGAGGCAGTGAAGGTGGAACAGAGTTGGTAGATTAGATTCACGCTTAGGAAAAAGATGCAGGAGCCACGGGTGTGGATGGTGAGGGTCGGGGGCTCTCGAGGGTGCCTCTGGCCTGCAGCTTGAGTCCTGAGTGGCTGTGTGGAGGCCCAGGGTAGAACAGGCTGTGGGGGAGTGGCACCGCACTCCTGTGTGGAAGAGCTGGTGGGGCATCCGGGGGAGATGTTCTGGGCTATGAGGAAGGAAGTGGGGTTGTTGGTTTGCAGACATCATTTCAAACCTTGCATGGATGAGAGCAGAGGCCCGGCATGGTGCCCTGAGGAACCCCTGTGGAGGGACAGGATGGGTTCTTTTAAATGTTTGAATTTTATTTTATTTATTTTTTATACAGCAGTTCTTATTAGTTACCTGTTTTATACATATTAGTGTACACATGTCAATCCCAATTTCCCAATTCATCCCACCACCATCCTACCCCCCACCACTTTCTCCCCTCAGTGTCCATACGTTTGTTCTCTACATCTGTGTCTCTATTTCTGCCCTGCAGACCGGTTCATCTGTACCATTTTTCTAGGTTCCACACACATGTGTTAATATACGATATTTGTTTTTCTCTCTCTGACTTACTTCACTCTGTAAGACAGTCTCTAGCTCCACAGGATGGGTTCTTGACTGATAACAGGCCTGGGGAGGCTTCCCCTGGGGTGACTCCGAAAGCTGGGGTCAGTCAGCAGGAGGAACGGACTTAGGGACAGTGGGGTGGGCCCGGCTTTGGGGGTTGGGCTTCCTTGACTCCCCCCAGGGGTCCTCAGGCCTACCAGCCGGACTTGAGCTGAGTGGTGTGGTCATGGGTCCTCCGCTACTCAGGGCTGGGGTGGGTGTGGGTGGACATGTGTTTGACCGGGGCAGTGGCCTGATCATCAGGGCCTGAGGGGTGGTTGGTGCGAGCCCGCCAGCCCGGGAGTGGGCTGCTGGTGAGAGGTGGGTGTCCCCCAGACACCTCCTCACACTGCCTGCAAGGGCAGGGGCCGATCTTGTCCTTTAAGCTTCACCCCGTCTTTGAGCTGGGTGTTTACATCCATTTTATAGATGAGGAAACTGAGGCTCAGAGAAGGTCTGGTAGATAATGATGCCGAAAATCCAACCCAGACAGGTCTGTTTCGCCTCCCTGCCCCGCAGTGAGCTCCTCCAGGGCAGGTGAGGACGGGGCTGCCCCGTGCCTTGCTGACAAATCAGTAGGTTTCCAGGCATCCGCACAGCCTCTGGCTCCTCTAACCTAGCCTCCGGGTCTATCCAGAGGCTTCTCTCTGCTTCAGGGGGATGAAGCCACCCCCAGTGCCTGGGGCCAGATGGAAGAGCTCATGGGGTCTTGGGACAGGTGCACACCAGCCGCCGCCTGGATGGAGGCAACACCTTTTTTGGGGGGCACACATTCAGCCGAGACTCGTTTTCCCCATCCCTACAATGGGGACAAACCATCCCAGACCACACTGTGCCCTGGGGGTGCGGGGTGTGAGAGGGGGGCCCCCTGGAGCCGGCCCGGCAGATCCCCACCACCCCCAGCCGTGTGCGCGTGCCCACAGGACTTCAGCCTGCTGTACGAGGAGGCGCGCTACTACCAGCTGCAGCCCATGGTGCGCGAGCTGGAGCGCTGGCAGCAGGAGCAGGCGCAGCGGCGCCGCAGCCGGGCCTGCGACTGCCTGGTGGTGCGGGTCACGCCGGACCTGGGTGAGCGGATCGCACTCAGCGGCGAGAAGGCTCTCATCGAGGAGGTCTTCCCCGAGACCGGGGACGTCATGTGCAACTCGGTCAACGCCGGCTGGAACCAGGACCCCACGCACGTCATCCGCTTCCCGCTCAACGGCTACTGCCGGCTCAACTCGGTGCAGGTGAGGGCTGGCCGGCCGCCGCCTCCCCCGTGCCTCGCCGACGCCCTCCGGCGGCAGAGGGAGATGGAGGGAGGCTCGGAACCGGCAATGGCGAGGCCCTCCGTGCCATCTTACAGAAAAGGCAACAATGTGTCGATGCATAATTTATGTCCCGCTCATAATTAAATGATGGCGCCTGGGGGATGGACTTAAAAAAATTGATCTATGCTTTTTTTTTTTCCTTTCCCGAAAGGATGTTCTATAAAAATGGCCTAGAGTATTTTCAACAAAGTGTGCTTCATTTGACACCCAGAGTCTGACTTTGGACTCAAATTAAACCCACGCAGTGGGAGCAGCAGGTCAGAGGCTGAGAGTGGCGGCGGCCTGGAGCCCCCCTACTCGTCATGCTGCCCGGGGCCACCAGCACCCAAACAACCGCCCAGTGCGTGTTTGGACTGGCTTTCCCCAGATAGGTCTAAGAGCTGGGAAGCCCCACATGGAGTGGAGGCCTATTTTCCATCAGCTCTTCCAGACCCAAGAGCAGACTCCTATTTCAGGCTTGGGGCAGAGTGGACTTTGTGGGGGGAATTCCACAAGCTGTCCGTCAGAACTTGCTAGGTGCAGGACCCGGGTGTCAGACACAGTGACCAGGCCCTGCCCTCACAGAGGCGCAAGCCCGTCCACGTGGACACGGAGACCTGCAGAGACTCAAACATCAGGAGGACGCCTCCTCTCCACCCCAAGCTCCCTTGAGCTGATGGGCCCCCAGGCATCAAACCATCTGGGACTCGCAGCTCAGGGAAGCAGGTGGCTGCCCAGAGGCTGGGGGCAGGGTCTCTATTACTGGGGCCTCAGTGAGGGAGGGGGACCTGGGACCATGTGTCTGGAGAGAGAGGGGCCCAATCAAGGTTGTGGACCCCTGAGGGCAGCAGGGTGCTCGCCCATCCAGGTTTGGCTGTTTGAGGGGCCCTGGGGCCTGGCCGCCCCTGTCCCTTCTGTGGCTGCCCCGCTGGATGTTCTGTAGGGACTTCTGTCAGCAAGCAAGACATGTCTTAACAGGAGAAGGTAGCTTGCCCTGGGCTAGTGCCCATTTGCCCACCAGGCAGGGCAGGCAGACTCTTACAGCTGGGCGGGACTGACCCCTGTTTCTTCCCCGACAGGTCCTGGAGAGGCTGTTCCAGAGGGGTTTCAGCATGGCTGCGTCCTGCGGGGGTGGCGTGGACTCGTCCCAGTTCAGTGAATATGTGCTTTGCCGGGAGGAACGGCGACCGCAGCCCACGCCCACTGCTGTCCGAATAAAGCAGGAGCCCCTGGACTAGGCCCTGCCTCAGTGCCCACCTGAGGCCTTTGGGCCCTGGGGACACCCCAGGGACCAGGAAACAGTGCTGGGGAGTTCTGCCTATGCCTGCTTAGCGGTGGCCATGAGACTGAGGGTGGGGCTGGAGGGTCCAAAGCCTGCCCAGAGAGCCCCAAGGCCCCATGTGTCATGGCAACAGAATGTGGGATGCTGGAGGCATGTCCACTGAAGGACTGTTGATGTGACCCAAAGATGCCGAGGTGGGAGAACTCGGCCACCAGTTGTCTGGGCCCCTCAGCTCCCAGTCCGGTCCTCGAGGCTCCACATGTGCCAAGGCAGGGTCAGCAGAGGCCTCCCCAGTGCACGCCGAGGAGCTGTCCATCCTTCACCACACGGCAGACTCCAGTGGGTCTCCTTGCGTCAGAGGTGGCTTATTTTTCTACAGTATTTAAGACGGAAGTAACTGTAAGTGCACAAGTCAGAGAGGCCGACAAGGACCAATGCTTCTTTATCTTGTGCTCAGCTCAGTCGGACGCGCAGCATGTCTGCATGGGGGGTGGAAGAGCTGCCGGACACTCGGGCCCAGGTGCCCGCAGAGCAGGGCTTGGAAACTTCTGGTTCCTGCTCTAGGAGCAGATGCAGGGATGGCAGTGCCACAGGGGCTGAAACTGGGCTCCCACGGGGTGGGGCTGCTGGGAGGAGGGTGGTACAGGCGTGGGGGATGGATAGCTTTGGAGCCACTTGAGACCCTACCTTTGCTGCCACCTGGGGCACAGGCCACACTTGAGAGCCACCTGACCAACTAATGCCCAGGGCCTTCGATTCCTGTCTGTGCGCGCGCACACCTGGGCTCCCAGAGAAGTCATCCCCCCATCAGGACCAGCCACGGGGCCACACCACATCCTTACCTCAGGAATGGGCCCCACGGTGAAGGGGCCCATCTGTCAGCAGCATCCTCTGGGTCCCCAGCTCAGGAAGCCGTCCCCCACTCTGATTTTCCCACACTCTTATGCACACTGAATTTTAATTAGACTGTTACACTAGCTTGCCAGTAAGACCCGGACAGAGTCATACCTTGGGTTCTTGGCCCCGGATTCCAACGAGGACTGCCTCTGAGGGGTCCTCACAGACCTGCTGCCTCTCAGATGACAGGCCCAAAGATGGATACCGCCTGCCTTGTCACACACAGTTCCCCTCCCCTCCCGAGATGGCTCTTTCCCAGGTTGGAGAGACCGCAGAGAACTGCTGGGTGGGCGGGGCGTCCTGGCCAGCACTGCCCCTTGTACGATGCCTGTAGACTTGTATATGACTCCTTTAATATTGTAAAGATGCTGATGGACAATTGTCGCGTGTTTGTGTAAACACATTATGTTCCTAGTTCATGCCATAAATGATGCTATAAAGCGAAAGACTGAGGCTCCATCCTGTGCAGAAGCGGCAGGCAGATTCCAGCATTCCGTGCTGTGCAGGGAGGTTTGGGGATGGGATTCCTCCCTGGGTTCCTTCAGTTCAGATGAGGAAGAGCCAGCAGCGGTAACTGGGGGAGGGGCAGGGACAAGGGTCCTGAGCTTGCTGTTGTTTATTGCATGTGGGTGTTTCCTCACTGCTGTGCCTGTCCCCCCTGGGCAGCGCAGATTCGGAATTCTGATTCACAGCCCCTAACCAGATGCAGGCTGGGGAAAGGCAGACCCAAAGTGTCCAGGGGCTTTTGAACCCAGTCTTCAATGTTTGTGATTTTTCCCTCCCTCTGGGTTTTGGTTGAGGTTGACGTCCTCTTTAGAGCGCCGCAGAGCAGTAGGAGAAGGTGGCAGGCGGTCCATGCATGGCTCAGGCCAGCCAGGGAACCCTCAGCCCTTCGCATGAGGACAGGTCACCCTAGCTCTGCACAGGACCTCGAGGCGTCTCTTTCCGAGGAGTTTGAATGTACTTAACGCAGGCCTCCAATTTTAATGAGCCTTTTTGTATTTCTCCTCAAAGTCCTTATGTTCTAACTGACCAGGACCCTTTCCCATGCCAGTAAGGGCCACCAGCCTCTCCCTGCCTGGGGGACGGGCCACAGCCATGTGCTGTCTGAGGCCGCAAAGCAGTCGCCATCCCACTGTACAATCGAATTTGCTGGACAGACTTGCCAACCTTCTCCTTTGCTCAGCAACATGCCTACAGTTGGCACACGGGCATTTTGGCATCTGAGGTTCACATCTGAGAGGAGGAGAAAGTGTTGTGTTTATTAGAAAGGAAGTCTTGTGGAAACAGCTCAGTGCCGCGTGTGTTTATGGATTTTTAGAGTATGATAACCAGCATGGTTGCCGGTCGGTGGAGATTCCCTAACATTTTCAAGCAAACTATCATTTTGATTAAACCATTGTGCTAAAAAAAAAAAAAGAGTAACTACCTTACTGAATGTTACTCTTATCTCCTTACTAATTAAGACAAACCAGGAAGTATGATTTAGGGAGTTTCTAAATTTGTAGAGAAGTACCATGTTCCCAAAGTGACGCAAAAATTCTAAGATAGTCTCTATAAACAATAAGTACAAACGTCTTTATGCTTCCTGGAATGAATATACTATATTGTAAGTAATCTCTTGATCAGTTGCCAGCGATATAAGTGTTACTTCTGCTCTTCATAAATTATTCTTGATTATAAGCAACTGGACAGATAGCTGTGCCAACACTTCCCTGTTCCCCACCAGACCTCTGCCCGTGCAGGAACTCTGCAAAGCTACAGCAGGTGGCTTTGGCCACTGTCCTAATGACACGGAGCTCAAAGTCAGGTCACGACACTAATATCTTTTAAAAAGCTTTTTTTTTTTTAAATTTAAAGCTACCACTTGACTGTGTTCCATAGAATAAATAAAGGATATTTTACGAATTATACACCCAGCTCTAGCACTTCGTTTCTAATCTACTGAGGCAGCCACAAGAAGGCGCTCTGGCTTGAGTGACTCTTAAGCCACTGCTCCCCACACTTGGGACTTGGCTTGACCACTGAATAAGCACCTTGAGTAGCCCTAGTCCCAGATACTGAACCTTCCTGATCTAGGTGAGGAGTTGCCGTGGAGGGTTGGGCCCTTTTGCGCTATATTCATTTTGTACACGTGTATATGTAAACCAAACCACTAACACATTTGACAAAGGGGCAGAGAAGCATGGATGTGAGAAATGGCTCCACTGAGCCCCTGACCAAGGGAAGACCAATTTGGTTGAGTCCAGCAGAGCCTAATTAGAGCACGGGGTTGGAGATGACCCTTTTTCCCATCCAGGAGGCAGACCTGTGTTCTCTGGAGAATGCTACCTGCCAAGATGGCCCCATCCCATCAGGCCCTGTCCACCCTCCTGACTCCCCAGAGACAGGACGACAGCTGCAGTGGCCCTGCAGCACCCACAAGACTGGAGTTCCTCCTAAGTGGATGACAAGACGGAACATTCAAATGCAGGGGCTGCCAGAGGATTTTCATTTCGAGGCAGGGCACTTGGTTCAAGCCAATGGGGAGTTCTAGACAGAGCTGGAGGGCCAGCTCTTGGCTAGAGAGCACAGATGCTGCCCTTGAGCCTGGTATCTGGGCTGATGAGGGATGTTGTAAGAACTGTGATGTCACAGTTTGATGGTCTCGACTTCTGTTGACTTTAAGGTGGGTGGGCAAATGTTTAGCACAAAGACAGCCACATAACGCTGGCCTTGGCTCAGATGTGATGAGACGTGGCTGACCATCTTTCTGCTCACCCCCATGCCACCCAAAGGAGGCGGCTCCATGTAGAGAGAAGCCTTGCCCTACCTGAAGATTGAGGCTCATGAGGTAGCCCTTTGTGGACCAAGAGAAAGAAAAGAGTATGGTTGGCAGCTAAGGGCAGCTTCCTGCCAGGAGCCAGACTAGCAGTGACATTCTCTCAGAAGAATCAGAGTGACCCAAATGGAACCCAACCCCAGGGAGGGTTGAGGGTCAGAAAAGGATCTCACAGCCCCTGCCTCAGTCCCTGCCCTCAAGTGCTCGGTAAGTCCAGGGGCATGGCTCTGAGAGCTGTTAGTGGAAGGAGAGCCCAGCCCCTGGGAAGCCCCCCAACCTCACCCCCTGCCCCTGGTTGATCTTGTTTGGGAACACCAGATGGCAGCTCTCTTCTCCCAAGCCCCAGAGCTGGAAAAACAAGACACCTGCTTGACCCGTGGGGAGCTCTTCAAACCTCAGAGCCTCAGGCAGAGTGGGGGCCAATCCTGGGATATGTATCCAGGCGTTGCTGCCTGTTGGTAGTTGTTTATTCACAGGGAGGAGGCCCCCTGTGTTTCCAATCTCACCCTCTTACCCCCAGTGGAAGGATGTCTTGGACAGTATTTGTGCTATTTTGGGGTCATGTAACTTTGACTTGAACAGGGGGCTAACGTGGCTGCAGAGGCTTTGGACCTCGGTCAGCAAGAGGGTCCTGCTTACTGCAAAGATCTTTATCTTCCTGGCCACCTGTGCCATTGATTGTTTGGCAGCCAGCATGTACCAGCCACTGCAGGTACTTGGAGGACAAGACAGCCCACAGGGCTAAGAGAAGACGTCTGTTTATCCACAAGAACTGTTTACTTGAGGTCCTGTAAAGTTATCTGGAAAAGAACTTTCCATAGTACAGTTTTCAAGTTTGTCGTAACATCGAATATAGATGACCCACAAATCCCTTGACTCGCAAGTAGAGCCAGCAACCTCTCCGGCCTCAATGACTGGCACCTCCATAGTGAACAAGGCTTCTCTGAAATTCTAATGAGAGATGCAGGGACAGAGGCAGGCACACTCCCAAGGGGGAATACAAAGGAGATGGCTGGAGGTCAGTTGCATTTGGATTCTCCTCTTTGTTTCCATTACACAGAACAGCCAATCCTGACAGCCATCTCTGGGCCTCGCTGCCGAGCTGGACAGCACTCTTACAAGACTGAGTCATGGCTCTAGGATGACAACAGCTGGGTCATCCAGGCCTTGACTCCCAGGACCTCCTCACACAGACATCACAAACTGCGATACAGCCTTAAAAGAGCAGGGCCGGAGCCAGGGAAGCGCTGGGACGCCCAAGCCAAGCCCCTGGGAGGATGCCGGCCCTGCCCCTAGGAAAACAGGGGTCCCCACATCCCTGGCTGGACGGGGCGGGAGGTGCGCCACCTGCCACGGGCTTGAGCTGCTCGGGGTTGTGGTGGTGGTGGTGGGGCGGGCCAAGGCTGCTGTTCAAAGCCCATGTCTGGACTGTCACCAGAGCTTCCTCCTCTGCGTCCTGGACCCGGTCCAGGGCTCCCGCGGAAGCTGCGGTTTGGGGCAAACAGCCTGCACCAACTGGGCGAGGCGGCTGCTCCCACTCCGGACGCGGGCCACGCCCCCTTGGACGCGAACACACCCCCATTTCCCGGGGCCCACAGAGACACGCCTCTCCCTGCAGCCAAACAGCGTGAAGGCAGATTTGTACGAGTATGTACAAGGTCCTGGAATTCTCGCCCGGTTGCCACACAGTATAAGGAGCATAACTGGGGGAGGTTATGCAACTGCCCGAGGGGCGCTGCCAGGGCTCTCCAAGTTCTCATCACAGGCATCCAGGGATCCTGGGACGGAGCCAAACGCTAACAGTGCCACCTTTGGTGGCACTGATGGCCTCGCTCCGGCAGGGCAGCAGTATGGCTCTGCTGAGAGTTGGGGAGCCCAGGTCCCTGCTGGGCCAATGGGAGTGAAGCTTAGGCAGAGGGGACCGTGCCTGCAAGCAAGGCGGCAGAAGCCGAAGCAGTGGCAACAGCCCGGCCTGGCAGTGCCCAGTGAGCACAGGGCCGCCCCCAAACCCCCAGTCTGGATGCACACCAGATCCTGAGGGAGGGCAGTAGGGGGCGCACTGGGTGAGGTCTACCCAACTAAAGCAGGAGACTGACAACCCTTTCCCCACCCCGTGGGCAGCTGGGCTGCATTCTCAGTCCCACAGAGCCCTCATGGGTGGGTCCATCCCCGGGGCCCTGTGAGTCACTTCCCCAGGCCCTGGGGGCCTCACTTGAAGGTGCCTCCCTCTCAAGCAAAGCCTCCTTTGTTGTCCTGCTGGCTTCACTTCACAACCCTTTCCTCCCGAGTTACAAACTTAGGTTCTGTGGGTTATAGGGGCACCAGCTGTAGCAGCACAGAGATAGACAAATGGAAAGTGGTCTGGCACTGCAGAGGGCTGGAGCTTGCTTCCCTGCTTCCTCTGTCCCCTGCTCGCTCAGAGCTCAGCCTCTCTCACTGTCCCAGACATCTGGGGAAGCCCCCACCTCCCTGCCCAGGTAGTGGGTGTGCAGCCTCAGGAGCGCCGATCATGGAAGAGTACCAGAAGGGAGGGCAGTTTGGATGCGCTCACCCTGGCCGGCACTGCCCAGAGCTGCTGAACTGGCCCCTGACACTTCTCTTGCCTCACAGAGAGGCTTCCTTGGC